AGCAGCCCTTTTCAGTCTCATGCCCTGTATCTGTTGTGTGAATCGTAAATATGCAGAGTTGACTCTTATTATCCAAAATAACGTAAGGTCGGTATGTAGGCAATACTATAATAATGGTGAATAATGATGTGTACAGCAGTGTGGCTTCAAGATGACTCTACGGTGGCACAGAGGCAATTCTATTACAGAATCTCAGTGGAGGGACACATACATTCCCTTCCATGAAACTGGCCATTGGCCAGCAAGTGTTAACAACACAAGCTTTGGGAAAACAGGTAAAGCTGCCCTGCAGTGTTACATGGAGCCAGCGGGGCTGTGCTACACTGCAGCCCAGGTAAATCGCCTACAGATGACAAAGTCAAAACTATGAGCTTGATGGTCAGTCCCAAGCACAGTGTTACACAGAAGTTTATGTGGATTCTCATGGTACATTCCAGGAAATTCAGACTACTCAAAAAGCATTCATAAACACAGTCACATAACTGTTCTATTAATTATTTACTAGATATTAATGTCTTGGCTGTACTCATTAATGTCACAGAATATGCTATTCAATACTTGAGTTCTTCCTACGGTGAAAGACTGCAAACACAACAGTATCCTGCAGAAGATCACACATCCACTACTTCTTTTTTTCATATGGCCACTGATCTGTTTCTTAGGTCACAACTTTATTAAAAGTATAATCTGCAACCACTCAAAATAGCACTAAAAAAGGCCTTTAAAACACTATAATCACTCTTTTGCCTCACACAATTAGAAGATAAAAATGTATAAAAATAATCAGCACCAGTTATGTGCAGTATCAGCTTAATCATCAGTCAAAACTCTCCTCTTTTGATGAAATCATTCTGTATCTAATGATATCAGCACTACTGGTGGTCTAGGCTGATATTAGTCAATGTACAACCTTGGGTTCATTTTTAGGCATTTGGATCACCTATTGCAGCAATGGAAATAGATAAAGCTCTAAACTGTTATCCAAAAAAGGTTTCGTGTGAAGGAAGAGTTGCATCACCTGAATGACATAAAACTGCTACAAAAGCTGAAGTTCTGTGTAAGTGCTAAATATGAAGCGGTAGGAACTTAACTTTTAGCTTTTGAAAAACAGCTATGGATATGGATGCAGTGACTACGTATCCCGAAATAATACAAACAGCTTCTCACCAAAAGTGAAAAAACAAACACACAGACACTCAGAACACCACCATCTTAAAGCTCAACACTAACAGTGCTTTTTTGCCCAAGATTAAGTTCCAATAATTTTCTGTCAATTAATCAATATACATCATGTCTTTCAAGGCATTTGCTAGTCTATCTCCCATATTCATAATACGAAAAGTTGCAAACAGAAGGTGTACAAAAATAACTATGCATTAGTTCTTACAAAATGCCTCTAACCACAGTGGTATCACTCCATTCCTACAGGTGATGAATTCTTGCATAAAAAGTGTAGCTAGCTAATATACTCAGAATCACACAGAAAAGTCTATGGCAAGAACAGCAATTGAATCAAAAAACGCTGATAGGTTTAGCCATGACATTATCCTGGGATTCTGAAAAAACACGGTGATCAAAATAGACAATAACAGGAGTATCAGATGTTCAAGTCCAGAAGAAAATAAAAAGCAATCCTATTTGCAATTTCTATCAGGGCTGCTAAACATTTATGTATTGTTCCAATACACCAACCACTCTTGTTATGCCACTGTTAGGAATCCTGCACTCACTGAAATTCATAACATTCTGCTCACTCACAGTAATTTGACAGAAGAACAAATGAGAACAGAAAACTGAAGCTTTCCCATGCTGCTGAGTGCAACAATCATGAAATTATATCCTCAATCCTAACTTTGAATCTCTTTTTACCAACTGACAACATTCCATAAAAAATACTTACATATGCGATAATTATTATTTTTGTAGCGTTATGCTTACATGAAAGTTAAGTTGCCGGTTTGAATTCAGAAAACAAACAGTGAATGACAATTGTAAAAGCAAAATATTACTGAAACACTATTGACTTTCGAAGAGTATGAGGAAAAATTAATTGGCAGATGTTTTACATAGCATAATTAACAGTTCATTTCAATGCTCTATAACAAGATTAAGATAATTATGCTTAGAAACAGAAATGTAATAATGATAAATTACTATTTTTCATATTACGGTCAATCTCCTACATTCCAAATAATCACCATGTTTAGAAATAGGTGCATCTGTGCCATGTTGTCATCAGCTATACAAATGGTACAAACTCCAGGCTGAGTGAAGCGATCTTTCAGCCAAGATACAGGAGATTTGCTTTCTTCAGGAGTAAACGAAGTGTCTGTTCCACTCATCAGCAGAACAGAAGGTAAAAACAGCAGTCCTGTTTTCACCAGGGCACAGTTACTGGATAGAAGCTGAAGCTGCATTAGCATTTCTTATGGATAACTGGAGAGCAATGTTTAAATTCTGCGAGCTTAGCAAGTTACAAAAACCCCTCATATGGAAGTTCAAGAATGAGAATATGAGAATCTGTACTCTGAGATGGTGTGCAAAAATATGAAGTCATATGCTTTCCTACATGGGTAGCAAGGAATAACTCTTTCAAGGATTTCAGGCTACAAATAAATTAAGAAAAAACTAATTTTCAAGGGTGTTTTTTATTACATTTATGAAGACTCTTACTGCATCCAAGTGCCACAATATTAGTGTAAATCATTTCAAATTAACAGTTACATGAATGTAACCCCTGAGTGTTAATAATGTGTTGATAAATTAGGCTTAATATTTTGGGGTCTACATATAAATTTTATTTCAGGCCTTCCATTTTCAAGGAGTTTTTTTTCTTTTTTATTTCAAAGATGCATTTTTCTTCTATTTCCCCACAAAGACATAACAAAAAAACCCCACAACCGTTTTGCCTTGAAATTAGAAACAGACTTGTATTTCACCCCTCTCTCATTTTTATAGCTTCACTGCTTTCATCGTGGGGTTTTTTGTTGTTTTGGGGGGGGTTTTTTTGCTTTGCTTTCTACTATCAAATCCTTGACACTTGGAGACTAAAACCTCACAACTAACAGCACAAAGATCAGAGCAGGCACAGAAATAGAAATTGCAAGATTAGAAATCTCAAAGACCTGAAAAGCAGACAGAGGAGGAATAAATAGGGATTGCAGCAGAACCAAGGAGAATAAAAGAAAGCAATGAAAAATACCTCCAAAAAATAATAACAAAAAGTGTGTGACTGTATTATTAATGTGCAGCTGAGGAATATTAGCTCTGTAGAACTGGAATATCACACTTATCCAAAGCAAATTAGATTGGAAGAAGGGAGGTAAGTGCAAAAGCATTGTGTATTATAAATACCCACTGACACCTTTTACGTTTAGTCCACTTTTCATTCCCACTTAGCAGTAGGCAAATTTAGAGACTTATTGTTCCTACTATTGATCATTGTTGCTCTGAGCCTTCAAATAAATAACAAAAAAATCCCACCCCATAATGAATTAAAAACCCAAGACATTACGCAAAAAAAAAGTTTTTGTATTGACCAGCTTTCTAGCTTTATCCCCTCACTAACCAAATACGTCTCCATATGTTTCCCATGTGCACTTAGGCGAAGTCAAGAAGTTGATCAGAAAATCATAGACAAAAGATGTCATCATGGAATTTGGTACAAAACACTGGCTTTGCAACTGCTTTATACAAACATTCTATAGGCAACCTGTCTAACCTTAACGAGTTCTTGGGGCAGAATTTAAACTCCTAAAGCCAGGAGACTTTTATAAGGCTGCACCCACAAATTATTTTCAATTGTACTCCATTACAGGCAAAAATACCATACTTGGCTTTGATCTTTGATCTCCTTACATATCAGCAGTATGTGGTAAGAAGCTATGAAGACAAAAACATAAATGCACTAATGAGATCTACTAAAAATACACGGCGAGGCATGTCTGAAACAATGATGCACCTACAATTTTGCAGAGCCCTTATGCAGATGACTTTCAGACTAGAAGGACATAAAAGGACCGAGGAATAAAAGTAAATATTCAACCCTAATGCCTGTTTTTGCAGTTACATTCAATTGGCCTAAAACTTTAACAGTATCAACCAAGGTACCCTAGACTACTTCACTGAGATGGCTCTTGCATCTCTTTACCTAGTCTTGACTTTCTGTTTATCCATCTCACCATTGCTGGTAAGGCATTCTGAATCATCTACACAAGCTTTTTCTGTTTTTCAGCAGCATAACTAATTTAGAATCTCAGCACTAATCCTCTTAATTTCTCCATAATCTAATTTATTATTTAAATTTGAAATAGGTATCTAATTGTATGGAGTTTCTTGAAGTATGTTTCAACTAAGATACAGTATACCTTTAAGGTAATATATTATTGTTATACACTCTGTTAATATTTCATAAAATAAACCTTTTATTTTAGGAAATTTTTTTGCATATATTAGTATAATGTGTATTAACACTGATACTGTTCCACTGACTAAAATGAGGTATATAAACAGTGTACAACCTCACACATCACAAACAAACCTGTTACAGTCTTCAAAGGGTTAAATTTGATACACTTCCCTATAGATTCTTAAAAATAACTAACAAACAGGGCTTTGCTATGAGGATATAACTGAGACTTAAGTCCAAACTACCTAATTTCTATGTTTGTATCTCTAGGTTTCAGTCATATAATCAGCAATTAGTAACCCAACAATAACCCAAACTAACAGTCTACTTATCATTCCAACTTTAGGCCTTTGGCTCTATAAAAAAAATGTAATTTCAAATAGCACTTGAATGTACATAATAACTGAATTTTATATATTATTAAAACAGTATTTGAAATTACATTAAAAAACACATTTAAAATGTAAAGCTAGAGAGAGCCATCTACAGTATATAAGGTGAAAGGAGGATCTTTGAAACTTTGATGGAGAAGTGCCATATCAATTTAAAAACATTTGGGAGTCTTCCAGTATGGAAAAGACAAAGCTCTTACCGTTTCCTTTGGAATTTGTGACTGGCTTTGTTCTGCATTCTAAAGGAAGTAAAAAAAATAAATAAGAACACGACTACATACGACATATACTATCTATCAGCAGGGGGATAAACAAAGAGCTCTAATTCTGACATGAAGTGGTAATGGAAATATGAAGGGTGTTCATCACACTGATTCAAATTTGTCTAAACAAGCACTAAATGAGAGGTGAACAAAAATAACCTCCATCGATCTTAGGCCAGTGCACCTGACTTTATCTGGCTACGAGGGAGGTGGCTATCTGGCCAAGGAAGGATAAAAGCTGCTTGCACCATCTTCTGGCTGGTGGAACGTTCTCGTTCAGTGATGTTCTCCCCTGGCTTTCCCTTCTGCTTTGAAGTTTTCAGAGAACAACCTCAGCAGTCCAGATGAACACATCCAAATATTCTAAGCAAGTATCTAAAAACATCCAGTCTCATTTTAACCAAGGACTCCCCTTTTAACTACAGCACTAGATATACCAGGACAGGAGGGAGCTTTCGGTCAACTACAGATGGGACTCTCCTGTACCTTGCATTTCTCACCTGTTTCTCAGGGCACATCATGCAAACATAAATCATTGGAAAACAATTCTGCATCTCCCAACCAATTCTGTACACACATGTGAGGAACTATTACTCTTCCAAGCCCATGTCCACACATATAAAAACCCCTCTCAGCACCCAGGAGCCATCTTGCTGCTGGCTGAATGATGATTTTTGGGCTAACCAGCTATTTCTTTCCATTCAGCTGGGCTAAAATAAAATGCTAGGGTTTACTGGACTTTTTTGCTTTGGGCTCTTTTGCAGGAGTTTCAAATGATCAAGCACAAAAATGTACTGGCAAAGTAGTAACACAAACACCCAGTTAGCTTTAACCTGCAGCCAACAATCAATAAGAAAAAAAAAATAAAAAAAAAATGAAGAAGCCAACTACCGGAAAAATGTAAAGGACCTACATGTACTGATGGGCATATTAACTTGTAGCATACAGGAGACTAACTCTGCCAGCCAGTCTTTGTTGATATTGAGAATTTAGCTCAAAAGCTAAATAACCCATGTCAATCCTTCAGTGGATTCACATGGCCAGTAGCAGGCAGAAAGAAATCTTTCACAGCAAGTTATAGAATCATAGAATGGTTTGGGTTTGAAGGGACCTTAAAGATCATCTAGTTCCAAACCCCCTGCCATCAGCAGGGACACCTTCCACTGGACCAGGTTGCTCAAAGCCTCATCCAGCCTGGCCTTAAACACTTCCAGGGAGGAGCAGCCACAGCTTCTCTGGCCAACCTGGGCCAGTGTCTGACCACCCTCACAGTGAAGAATTACGATGTTCGGTTACGTGAGGAAACCACAGTATAACAGGAGCTTTACTTAACCAGAGTAATCCTTATGCCTTTCATAAAGAAAGGTGGCAGGAGGGAATATTTTTAAGAGACAATCTGCCTCTCACACTGATGTGGACAAGCCCTAATGTATTACCTATGTGGCATTAGGTACCTCTGGAAGAAATAAAATGCTTGGTAGGCTGGAGAAGCATAACCGTTCTTCCAGATCTCATTGGTTAAAAAAGTTAACTCTCGTCAATTTGATTTTATTCCCTGCTTCCATGTTTTACTCGCTTTTACCATACCCTGCTGCACTGGATGATGGCTCTCCATCACACACACACCTCCTAACCTGACTACACAAGCTACAAAGATCCCACGCTAACCTAAACTGGCTCAGCTTAACATTCCCGTAAGTTTTAGATACAACTACACATTTACACAGGTCCCTTCCAGACAATAATGGCAACATACAAAGACACTAAACTCCACAACTCTCCTGAAAGTTTATTGTCTTAATTTTACTTATAATGAAATTTTCAAAAATCATTCAACAAACCGGAACTGAAAACATAAAATCTAACCACCTCTTTTATTGGGATTACTACCCGTGCAAGTGTTGGCAAATCTAAAATGGTTTCAACATTGAGTGCTCCTCAGCAATCAACAGCAAGTCCTGCCCTTTATGAGATGGATAATATCAAATAACATGATTTTATGCATACGGTTTCTGAGACACTTCTCATTCGGTTAATATTTAAAGCAAACAAATGTAGAAAGTATGGCAGAAATAGGGGAAGGATGCAAAGACAAACTGTTCCTAAATGGTCAAAGAAGGTTTGCATGTGAAAGAGATAAATTGACATGATTCCAGACCATTCCCCTCCCTCCTTCAATATTAATTCATTTTTGGTTTTGGTTTTTTGCATAAAGCTAGTAAAATTCCATCAGAGGAGCTAGTTGAAAAGACTCTTTTTTTTTTTTTTTTTTGTCTGTTAGGATTATTTCTTACTAGAGAAGAAAGAACAGTCCTTGTGACGGTTTTTAGCTCAGTACCTTCCTCAGCAATTCTGCTCCTGCTCTTTGACAGCTGTCAGCAGAGCACACCTAACAGTACTTCATGTCAAAATGCAAACAAACAAATACTTATGCAACAGGGGATCATCACAGAACTGTCAGATCCTCACAATATTATTTGTTCATCTAAAGCTACAGAAACATACACCAGTCCAGATCGGATCTCTGACTACATAGCACAGAGCCCACCTACTGCCTGACAGCCATGAGGAGATCTGGGATTTGCCAAAATAGCTGAGAGTATCGCCTGAGCAGCAGCAGGGAGGCTACTGAAACTCATTTAAACGGGCTGATTTGCTGTTATTTTTAAAATTATATCAAGTATTACTATTAAATCTCTGCATTACTCACATCATATCTTTGTTTACAATTATTTAAATTCTGTACTATAAATGCCTAATTTTACTACAGAAATAATGTACACAAAATTAAGACATTTTCTTCTAAATTTATTTAGAAAACTTAAAAAGCATTTTCATTCATCTTTATGTATGATAGCAATACTGTGAAAATTACATCATAGGAACTTATAAACAGATTGCTTTCACAGTTCCAGTAATAAGGTAAGGCATAATATGATTTAAAATTGTTCATTTCTCTTCATTTTATGACAACTTTCACTTCAGTACCTGCAGTCATGTTCCAAGAATATGAAGGTAAAAGTGTGGTTCATTTGCAACCTTCCCTGCCATTTGAATTTCATAGGTTTAATTGTAGGTTTGATAAGTAAAAGGCTAATGTTAAATGCCTTGAAATGGACAAACAAAAATTCATTCTTTTTGCATTCAAAATAACACAAACCCAACAGAAAAATGAAGCAATCAATTCAACATACTTATAATTGTCATTTATACTTGTCTACCTTCTCACAATAATGCAGCCAAATAAGTTATTTTTAGAGCTATATATAGCTACAAGAATACAAATAATAAATAACTTCAGCAGTTTAATTGAATACAGAACAAAGTAAGACTGCTACATTCACAGCCTACCTTTTCATAACAGAAATTATCTTGAATAATTATCAGATAAATATCTTTATACACTATGCAAGTGGAGCAGGTACAGTATGAAACATTATTTTATTTCCATTTCATGTAAATTCCTCAGAAACATTTTCTGAATTGCCTTGCTAAATTAATAACTGCAGGGTTTCCATTCCACAGAGATTGCATTTATATTCAAAAAAGGTTACTATTTCTTATATATTCCACTTTTTGATAGAAAAAGATTTACATATCCTGTTTTGGCATAATATTATATGCTCTAAACTATTTTAGTGAGCTGGTAGTGGGACAAATGGCAGGCTTTCAAATATAGATTTGTCCATATGAAAGCTACGAAATAATCTACTTGTCTGCATCCATCCAAATAAAGTCCATCCAATAGCTTCTTCTATAATAAACATTTTCACTCAAAATAAAACTCTTAATTATACATTATCAACAAATATTTAATTCCAATAGCAGATCTCGTAGAGAATAAAAAAACATTCATGTAAAATGTTCTAAATAAAGCAAAACAGCTTTTTTCTTTTTCTTACATTCAGTGCTGGCCATGCATGTTTACTAGCAGGTGACAAGATCAAATCATTTGCTCATACCCATCTAGATCTCTTAGCTGCTCTCTATTTTACGCACCAGTTCCCTTGGATGGAATGTTTCTTCCTGTCGAAAAATCAGAAGGCCGACAGTCCCTCCCATCTTGGTGCTTCGCAGCAAGGACACAACTTCTTCTTGAGTTTTGCCTGTTAAATCAACTCCATTTACCTGTGATGAAGGAAATATTAGAAATTTGTAAGACTTCAAACCACAAAAAACAGTAGAATATTGAAAAGTCATGTGAATCATATGAGACAGTTTTAAAAAAACCTCAATGAAGCAATCTGCTTATTGGCTCAGCAGAGCTTTTACTCCATAGAAATAATTAAACACGCATTCTTTACATACGAATTCAAATAACAAGCAAGACAGCAAGATAACAAGCAAGAACCTTTACAGCAGCAACAGTATAGTCCAGTACACTCTAAAGCCAACTATTCCCATCTACCAGTAATTTTTAGAAGAATTTCTGCCCAAAAATCCTTTTGCAAAATCAATGTATGATCCAAAACTGGTCCTGTTTCCATGTGCCTTGGTGTTATACATATCTTCCAAATACATCTTGCACAACAAATTGTGTCAAAAGTAAAAAGTAATTTTTTTCCCCAAATAACTTTGGGGAAAACTCTTTGTCTTTGTTCAGTGGTCCAGCCCCTTGGCCTCCACATACCACTAACCAGGACAGACAGATATGGAATACCTACAGGAAAATTTCCCACTGTACGAGCTAACTTGAGTAAGAAGAAGCCAGAGAAAGATAGGGTATCCTCAGGCTTGTCTGTTCAGAAACACTGTGGAAATGCAAGGCAAATCAACTAATGGTGTTAAGCAAGGGAGAGCATAGTGCTTAGAAGTCATCAAACCATCTTTTTCCTTCCCCTTGTAGGAGATCACAGCTCACACAGCTGAGATGCCATAGCTGTTGTCTTAAATGCTCCTCAGTCCCCTTCTACCCAAGTCATCTGGGTTACCTTGAATTACAGTAATTACGGAGGGCTATGCTCCAGCAACAATTCAAGCTGACTTTGCCAATTTGCAGTAAAGTGAAGTTAGGGCGCTGAGAGGCAGTTACAGTCTCAGCTGTACCTCCAGTGTCATTTGGCTTAGCGATGGTAATGAAGAGCTGTGGGTGGTAACATCTTATATCACTCCAGCTAGATTTGCAGCAAGATCTCTGCTGTGCATCTATCTAAGAAAAATTTAATTCCCTTGAGGACATCATCCCTTCAGGAGGGAAGTGGCCTTGATTCTCTGTAGCACTACCTTCCTTTATATTGTCCCTTTCAGCTAATTCACTAAACCTTTCCAGAGTATTGTCTTCCATACTTGGCATCATCCTCAATAATTTCTGGTCCAATTTCACTCCATGCTGATTTAATGCCACTTATTAAGTAACAATCTCCTTGCTTCAACTAAACAGCAATGCAAGACTATCACACTATATTCACATAAGGATATGTAAACTCATGTTTGCATAGTTGTTTCAGTCCAGATCTTGAAACAGTTATGTACTGAAAATGTACAGCCCTTGATCTGTTACGTCAAAAAACAAAGTTAAAAAAAAAAGGAGGAAGAAGAAGAGGGAAACCATTTTCCTGTAACATAAAACTACTAAGAGCCTGGGGAAGTGAACTAGTGCATGGGCTCATGCCAAAACACAGACAAACAACATGTAACACTTCATCACCTCAATTAATCGGTCTCCAGCTTTTAGTCTCCCATCTTGAATAGCTGCACCTCTTGGAAGGATGTTTTTCACATAAATTGGAGCAGAGCCACCAATGGGGACATCTCTTGAAGTAATGCTAAATCCCAAGCCTTCTGTACCTGCATAAAGAATGCAGAATAGGCCTTGTTAAAATGCATATATTATATTACATATTATTTTTATCCAGCAGAACATATGTATACCTCACTGATACAATCCTTGAAAATAAATACATAAGATGTAAGAATGACTGGGGGGGGAAAAAAAAAAAGGCATATATAGGAATGCTATAGCACTGAGTCTTGGCACAGGTGGCTCAGCAGGCCCCCCTTGCAACTTGCTGTTCTGATGATTTCCAAGTCATTGCCATATTTCCAACTTTCTATTTCAGATGAGCTGAGTGACAAGGAATCAGAACAAAGCATATCTGATATCCTACCACTGCCTTCCCCCTTGTCAATCTGGATCTCATCAATGAGCCTTCCTTTCTCTTTTGCAACTCTTTCTGCAATGTCAGTCAGATGACACTGCTGGCCACGGGGCTCTATCAGCTCACTTATGGACACCAGCAGGTGACAGACAGAACCGGAGCTCAGTAGTCTCATTTATTCTGCTCTGAAGGACCTCGGGCTGTTTTCTGTCAATAGCTCCTCTGCCCCAGGACTTCACCCCAGTTCTTGCTGGGTTCCACCCCACCTTCTGCCACACAGGCAGGGAGCAGAGCCAGGCTGCCACTTCTGAGGTCCTGCTGTGCATCCAGGTGACTGGCTTACACTTGGCTAAGACTGACTGAAGCAAAACAGAGACATTTAAGATGATCTGGAGAAATCCAGAGAGGGGGTCCAGTAAATATGGCAAATTAAACTTGCTCATATTTCAGAAAAATTATGCCCACAAATGGTTACTGAAGTATACCTTAGGACCTCACCAGCTCTGCAATTCATAAGCCAAGGGGACAAAAGGAAGCCTTTCCTACTACGCAGAAAGCTCATTTATGATCCTCTCTTTGATGCAATCTGTCCAGTGTTATCAACAACCTTTAAAATTCTATGTTGAAACCTGACCCACCCACCACCACAACACTGCACATAAAGTCTATTCAGGACACTTAATCTAGCATGAAATGCAGACAGCCATTCAGCAGAGAGCACCCCTGACAGAGTGTTAGCATCTACAACTTCCACTAGAAACATCTTGGAGGTTGTCAAGATATGTCTACAGTTCAAGTTCACTAGCCACGCATACACATGCCCAACCTGCATTTAATCTGACCTATGAAGGCAACCTGCAGTTAGGACTCTGCAACATCACGTACAGTCCCTAAAAGTTGCACAACATCCCTTTGTTATTGTGGGGACAGACATGAATGTTTATGCAAGTCTTCAGCTATGAGCCCTGGGAAGATGAACACAACCTATGTGAAAGACACACTATAGAACCATGAGAGGTTTGTACTGGGTTTGCATGGCAAGGTCTTGGTAGTGGGGGCGGTACGGGGCGGCTTCTGTGAGAAGCTGCCAGAAGCTTCCCCCATGTCTGACTGAGCCAATGCAGATGGCTCCAAGAGGGAGCTGCTGGCCAAGGTCAAGCCTATCAGTGATGCTGGCAGTGCCTCTGTGATAACATATTTAAGAAAAGGAAAAAACTGCTGTACAACAGCAGCTGAAGGAGAGGAGTGAGAATATGCAGGAGAAACAACTCTGCAGACAGCAAGGTCAGTGAAGAAGGAGGGGGAGGAGGTGCTCCAGGCGCTGGAGCAGAGATTCCCCTGCAGCCCATGGTGAAGACCATGGTGAGGCAGCTGTCCCCCTGCAGCCCATGGAGGTCCACAGTGGAGCAGAGATCCACCTGCAGCCCCCGGAGGACCCCATATTGGAGCAGGTGGGTGCCAAAAGGAGGCTGTGACCCTTTGGGAAGTTCACGCTGGAGCAGGCTCCTAGCAGGACCTGGGACCCTGTGGAGAGAGGAGCCCACGCTGGAGCAGGTTTGCTGGCAGGACTTGTGACCCCATTACCCATGCTAGAGCAGTCTCTTCCTGAAGGACTGCACCCCATGGAAGGGACCCATACTCGAGCAGTTCATGAAGAACTGCAAACCATGGGAAAGACTCATGCTGGAGAAGTTTGTGGAGGACTGTTTCCTGTGGGAGGGCCTCTGCGCTGGAGCAGGGGAAGAGTGTGAGGGAGAAGAGTGTGAGGGCGGAGTGTCAGAGCATGTGATGAACTGACCCCAACCTCCATTCCCTGTCCTTCTGTGCCACTGGGGCACATCAATTCGTCTAGGTTAACTATTGTGAGACAACCTCCCTTTCTTCTGCAGCATTCAAGACAGCTGAAAAACTGACATTTGAATTTGAAAGTCTTCATCCACTTTCAGGCTGATATAAAATTTATCAGTGTTATTACACAGAGATGAAGAAAATATTAGATCTTATAACATCCATATTTCACTCTGGAGACCTCACCATTTTAATGATGGTTTAAACTTTCATAGAACTCTTTAACCTCTTGCAACACATGAAGATGATCTGTATAAGGGTATTTTAAGTCAGATCTCAGCTTTTTATGGAATCTCTATTTTTCTTATTTCAAAGATCTGTGTTGAATACTGCTTTATGAGTACAAGCTTTGTCTGCTGAAATTTCTAACGCAGTATCAGAACATGACTGCACACCCAGGACAATATTTCATTATTAATAAACTTAAATCCCCATAGCCTGATTACAGCGCCATTACAGATGTCTGGTTCACACACTCCACTTTAAACTCCCATGGAAAAAAGCAGACGTTGAAATGTTCACATTACAAATGCACACAGGATATAAATTTAGACTGTGGCATTTTCTGCTGTCAAATCTCCAGAAGGTCTCTACCAAAGCCGGCAGAACACCACAAATCCACACTGAGCCCAGATATTAGCAGAAGAGAAGTCTAATTACTTGTTTCTGTGAAAAGAAGAGGGCTCAACTGGGCTACACTTTGCTAGGGTGCAATGCACAGCTTTGCATGAGGCAGCTTTTGGGTGTCCTTTTCCTTTTACCCCTTCTCTGCTTCATTTTACTATTCATGCTCTATAGCTGCCCTTAGCTGTACAATACAGCTTCATAAACTCCTTGCTTATTATATATAAATTAGAAGCTCACAAGACTGGGAAATAAATGAACACATTCAACTGAGGCCAAAAATAAATACAACTTCTTTTTTTTTTTTTCTTTTTATACACATAACTGATTTAATTATCTCTACCTGATGCATTTCAGTTCTCCTGTTGATAGAAATGCATATAAGATCTTAATATCTTCCTGCTGCTAAAATGTTTTCAGTTCTTAGAGTGTAAAACTCCATTATAATTATGAGGGAACTGTGCAAACATACTGTAGACTCTTCAGATATCTCTGATTTATACTAGTAATATGGGAGAAACTGAACACACATACAGACAGAACCTGAACATGAGTAGAAAACAGAAGGAATTTCCATCTTTTTGAAAACACAGGAGTCATCCTACTCAAAGCTAGGAGCTTTACTTTGCAAGGTCTAGATCATTTGAGCTATGTTCAGCTTAATCTCTTACAGATTTTTAAAAGAGAAAGGGTAGAAAAAGTCTTCCTCCCTCTATAGCTGTCAACTGTGACAACGATCAAATCACACCAAGTGATAATAGCATTTAAAAATTACCCACTAATTTGTGTAATTCAAATTCTTAGGCTTTTTTGATAAATCAGCAGCTCTCTCAACAAGTCAGAGCTCCCCTTTTCTAATGAATGTGATGCTGAACACGCCTTCTAACGTTGCATTGCCCTCAAGAGCTCAGCCAGCTCTGAGCTGAAGATGAAGTAGTTTTAGGTGAATAAAAAGGACAGTTACAACAGTAAAAGAACTATTCTGTTGTACAAGCAGAAGAGGGACAGATTTGATGCTTCAGTTGCTGTTTTGGAAGAAGAAGGTTCTACTAGCACCAAGGCAGAGCAGGGGTGGACAACTTTCATTTAATTTAATTAAATATATATTTAAAATTAACATCATCATCTTATTTGGAATCATCCTGATCATAAACTGACAGGATGTTAAAAAAAATTATTAAATCTTACTAGAGGTGCCTAGACTTTCTGTTATCTCCCTGTGAAGAAGTGTTTAATTTCTCACTAATGCTAGCATTATCTTCTTGATTGCAGAAAAAATGTCTGATATAACATTTCTGTCTTTCTAAAGCTCTTCTGAATGAAAAATTGTATTCTCCTCATCCAGCACCAACTGTAGGTCTACCTTCTCAGCAGCAAAATGTGTTGCTGGGTAGAAACACTGCCAGAACACGAGACAAAAAGCAAGCATCACCTCGATACTGCTTCCAGTACTTTCATGTCCCTCTCAAAAGGACATTACCTCAGAGACTCAAGAAGGAACATCTAAAGGACATACACTGTCAACTTCTTATGATACTTCTCTTACAGTTATCATCCCTTTCAGGACTGCAAGCAGAGCTAGAAGTAAATCATGCTCTTCTTTCTCCTCTAATTTAAGAAAATGTAGATGAGTTCTCAGGTACTTCAGTATGGATCTACCTAAATTTAAAAAAAAAAAATTAAAAAAATCTCACTTCTAAAACAATGGAACATGTTTGATAACTAGAAATTGGGCACCACGTTTGCTAGTACTTATGCAAGAGAAGCAGAGGACATTTCAAAACAACCTAAATCTGGAAAAATCCATGTGGGTGAACAGTCCTCAGATGGAATAAAGGATTGTTAAGGAAAAGTGCAGATTCTCCATGAAAGACAAAGAACACACTCTCCCCTTCCTAAAACAATAAGGGAGGTTGGTTACACATACAAACAGTTTGTGACACAAAGCCACAAAAATTACAAAATAAAGCATGCCCACTTAATTAAAGTGTTAGATTACAAAATCATCCAGAATAAGGAAAGAGATAACATTACAATAAAATAAGGTAGAAGGGCTAAATGTTCTCTGACAATAATCAGAGCAGACACTCTCCTTCCAAGCATTTCAAATTCCTGCTTTTTCACAGTATACTCCTCCTCGAGATCCATGTACGGATGGGTGATTGCTGAAATAATTATCCTACTGTTTTATGCTAGAAAGCACCTTTATTAAGAACTGGACCTCATGCAAGAGCTGAACAGCAAGTACGTTCTCGTTACTGTCAGGGGCTTCACTAAACTAATCTAAATCATTTTAGATATTTCCTGAAAAGTTATTTTACTGCTCCTGGTTTAAACCCCATGTTTTCAGAATCTGTGTATGTGTAGTCAGGGTAACTGTATGTGCAAATGACTGCTTAGAAGGCTGACTGCTCAGCTGTCTATAAAATATCTGCAGTCACATGCATGATCAAGACAAATTAATTGCAAGTCCATTTTTATGCTGTTGAGTGATTTGGAACAACTCTTTTTTTTCTCCAAGCAAAGCTCAGACCTCTCAAGAAGATCTTTGACCAACCTAACAGAAACATCCTTCCCTTTTTGCTATAGGCTGCTAATAGTGATCAGAAGTGTTTTTAAAAAACGTAAAGATGAAACTTGATGCAGTTTACATTTCCTCAGTGCCTAATAATGCCCAAAATTATGTTTCACTTCTGAATCTCATTTCTCAAGGTTGCTTAAGTAAATTAGGAATCTACACGCTACGTTTCAAAAGTGACAAACATCCCTACTGCATCTGAACAGGAATTCTAAAATCAGTCTAAGAGAACATATGACATCAAAAGAAATTTTAAATAAAAATTTAAAATGTCAGTTCAAAGTCTGGCTCAAGAAACTGTATGGGAAAACAGGAGAGTACAATGAAAAATGCATGTAAATCTGTACACTTCAGATACATGATGCAGGATATCTTACAGACAAGTTCAGGGTCCTGTCTTGTACACTCTGCTATACAAATCCAAGTAAAACAAGTAATCATCCATATATGTGCTTTACTCTATAGCAAATATGATGTCATTTTAAATTGGCATACTCCAGAACTTATTTGTGTCTCCAGGGACTTCTTGCAGAAGGGAACTTGGGTGTGGCAGGGCTGAGCGTCACTGTATCATAACACTGAATGTCCAGTCACCTGGTGGGACTTGCACTGTTTAAGCTTGGCTGTGTGTGTAAGATGGAGCATTAGTAACCACAGAAGGGCCAGCAATCCCAACAGGAATCCAACAAGAAACCTGAAGAGCAAGAAGTCTCATAACCCTCCTCACATCTACAATTTAACTATTTTTCTCTGTTGCATTACACAAAGGTGCCTCCTTCCTCTCAGGATCCACCATCTTCTAGGACACAGCTGCTACACCCTTTCTGGGATGGACTTGGTGATTCCTATAGCTTTCCTGGGAAAAGCTATAGGAGTTGTGTCACTTATTTCTTTCTCTTGAAGCTGTACTATTTTCAAGAGAGAAACTTCTTTGGGACAAAAAGGAAGATATGATCGCAACTCCCATGTCTGGTAGTTAAGTTGCTCTCTGGAAGGGAAGAGATGTGGACTGAAGTCCTGATGCACTGAATACTTCAGAGAAAAAATAGCAAAATATTTGGTGGAACTAGGACCAACTTAAAAAACAAGAGCACAGTTTTGACATTTTACATCAAGAATAATTTAATTTAACTAGACAAATATATAGTTACAGATAAAAATGATCCAATGCAATGAGCATTATACTTAAGAGCAATCATATAAAATGAAGCTAATTTAAAGACTGAGTACTTCAGGCTTGTCTTAGTACAGCAGTGTCAAAACCAGTACGTATGAAATCTGAGTCCAATTGAATGTCCAATTGAAAAGCAGTCTTTAGAATGCTCTAGCAAGTATCAGTCTAAATGCTGCGAGTTACTTAGTGCTCAAAGACTAAGCCGTAGAATCACTTGTTGTATAATTGGTTATTTATTATTTATAAGTGTGGACTAAATTTCTCTCAATTGCATTGGCTCAAACTCTTGCAGTCAAAGAAAAATCTCTGGAATTGTCCTGGTGTTATGAGGTCAAAATTTGTACTAACACTCTGGGTGTTATATCAGTGGTCTTATTTTCTCTATATATTAGCTGTAAAGAACTATTTTTATTTATTTATACTTACTGTGTATCAGCTTACACCAAAATATATAAAAACACAGGCTCACTGTCATGTCTTGCACTATCTTAATTTGTGTCAGCTATTAAGTTTAACTGTTATAGAGCCTTAATGGCATTAGAATATCAGCAATAACCCCTACATCTATATGCTAAAAGTTCAGGCCCTGACCTTTAAGGAAAGATAAACAGATATCCATTTTCATTTAGAAAAGCCAACAAACAATCTGCATTGACTGAAACATATGACTGACCTTCTCTTCTGACTTTATTAAACAGCTAAATCCTATGAAAGTTCAGGTTATTTTAAAATGCCAAAACAGCAATAAATATTAAGAAATCATAATTACAGAACCACGTACTGCAGGGTAATCTTACCATGTCATTTTATATAATAAAGCTCATGCAATATATAGAAACACAGCTGTAATAAATAAGGTCTGCCTATATTGAAAAAGAGTCAATTCTCATATACTATATCATTAACCAGAATGCACAGGTTAAATCGAAAGTGAATTTCAAGATGAAGCTTTACATGCTTGTATGCCTTAATGCACCCCACAAGGAGTTTTTAATGTAATGATGGTAATTGGTGAAATTACTGCTGTCTGTTACTACAAAGAAAGCACATTTGTTACATATCTGTGAAGCCTGTATTATTGCAACATCCTTCATTAGATATAATCAAAGACAATCAACATCCCTATTGCACTCATATTTATAACAAACTACTTGGGGGTATCCTTAAGTGTTTTGCTTCAATTGTTGCTCCACATGTATGTTCTCAGAATGATCAAATGAAAGACAAAATGGGAGTACATGCCTCTTTCCACAGTGTATATTAATAAATCAAGGACAGCAATAATAAAAAGGTATCCTTCCTTATGCACAATTTTTTAAAAAATATCACCATGCACAAAATACAGTACACTCAATAGTTTCTGTCTATTTGTCTATAATCTGAGGTAGGTGCTATTTCTTCATTAGTATTCTAATGGAACAATATGTTAGGAACAAATACCCCCTCTAAAATTCTGGAGTATATTCTAGATACAGATTTCAAAGCTTTTACTAGCACAAGAGCCACCAAACTTCTCTGGTGTGAACCAGATAGTAAAGGATCTTATAGATCACTTCTGATCAACAATTAGCGTGTATCTCCTTCACTCCAAAACCACCTAATATACTGGTGCCAGCAAGGCTAAATTACATTATAGAAGCGGGGAGAGTATTTATGAAATAGTGTCCAGCGCAAGATGACCAAAATGTAACCTCACATCACAGTCAAAGAAACTGTAACACATTAAAATTCTATTTTTGTATCTTATGAGCAGCTATAACACCACATTCGTTTTGTAAAAAAAATACTGTGGTCCCATATTCTATATGCATTATTTGGTGCTTTGAAATTACATGAAATGTATATTTGCACTCCTGGCTAAGAATTCTTTTATGTAATGTTCGAGTTACATTTCTACAGGCTTCCGTTAACACAAAAAAATAGGTAAAAATCACCGTAGTGATCAAGAACATATTTGTAAGCACAGTGATTCCTTACTCAGACAATAGCAGTAAGTTTTTCCAATCAGGCTGATCTGAGCTGATGGCCTAAAGAATTTCTTGAAGGAGCATCAAGAACAGAAGCAAACTGTCAACTCAACCTTATGTCATCCAAGTTTGTAGAGCTTAAAATTCAGCAACCAGAAAGAAGCAATCTGGTGGTTCATGTGAAGTTCATAAAAAGGAAAGCATAACGATAATGTGACAAGTAGCCTGGTACCTGTGAAAATGCACAACCTCTACCATTCAATGCACTGTCTTCTATACCTTCGATAAAAAGACTAATTAATAAAAATTATTCACACTAAGCACATACAATATCCTAAGGAGAATGTATTTTGAGTTCATGGAGAATACTGTCACATGGGTAAACTTTTTGCTGTGTAATGTAAATTCTATTCTTGCTGCTAGAGATCAAATTATATCTAAGCTTAAACATGCTCATTTTAATACCATAAAGTTTACAGCATGTATAATCCTTTAAAAAAAAATCTTTCCCAAAAGCTAAGAAGCACTTGCAGCTAAATGTCATATTATTATACTTGAAACTATCTTGAAAGCATCTAGGTAACTACATAAAAACAAAAAATTTTCTCACTTAGGACATTTAACACATCATAAAAACTCCACAGATGTACCAATGCATCTACATGTGCACATGTAACAGAGATGTTGAGATAAGCATGCACCACTTTCTCCTCTGCCCTTAATTAGTCTCTCACCCCCATACCAATTACATGAGCATAAGGGCCAAGATAGGAAGTATCACATTACATCTCAACCATTTAAACAAAGACTTCCATATCCCAGTGGAATAAAGAAAAGCTTTAGCTCAAAATCTGTAAGTCCAATTTACCAACTAGAACCAACACACTCTTAAAATCTAATGGCAAAACCACAGTTACTCAATTTGAAAAGTCATGATAACTCCGAAGTACAGAATATGGGCCTTTTTAGCTGATTTATTTATATTAAAAAGTTCACTAATCCCTGGGTCTTGGCCAACAGAATTTGCAGCACTTACTGTACTTCTCTTCTAGTTGAGAGACGACAGAAAACAATGTTAAAGCACTCTTCAGATGGCCTTTTGCAAACACACTGCACACACTGAATGCACGGCTGGACTCCTGGGCATGCTATCAGGGACAACTCAGCCCCCTGACTTCAAAAATCAACCCATCATGTCCCCCACACTACTGCATGCTGTCCTGCCCAATATAATGGCACTGGACACACGTACATACACTATGCACACATACCTCATGCTATATGAGGAGCACACTAGTGTCTTACCTTTTCTCAGCTGTATACTGAGCCTCTTCCCTATCTTTTTCGTGTTATACCCGCTGTTTGTAGTGGAAGTGAGAACTTTCTGAGGTGATGGTACCAGGCCCGAGGGTGGTTTCCCTGATGAATTCACACTATGAGGTAGCTGCGAGTAGGAGTCTGTCTGATCGGGCTGGTTACCCGCTCGAGACATTCTTTGTAATGTGTGAAGTCCAGAATTGTTAATACTTTTGCCATCAGCATACTGGGAATCAGGGCTGAACCGGCTGGAGTAGTACGTGTTCTTCTCGCTTTGGGACAACTGTTCATACTGTTCTTTATTTGCCGCAGGGACCACATGGAACCAAATGAACGGCGTACGCATGGCTTGGCGAAACATATGCTGTGCTCTAGGTTTCAAAATGAACAGAAAATTAGCAAATTAGGACTGGCAGACTACAAGACATTATAAGCATAATTACTAATGTTAATTAAGCAACACAAGCAGACAGACACATTGCACTCAAGCATAAACCATAAAACTTGAATCTGTTCACTAGTCTACTTGGTCTGCTTTTTGCTACGGTTTATTGCCTTAGGGCAACACAACAGTTAAATATGCTTAACAACTAACGTACCAAATACTGGATTCAGAAAAGCAAAAATTTTAAGCACAGTCTTGAAATGCAGACAGGTCTGTGGCAGGACTGTAACGTCCTTTTGTTTTGAAGCTTGATAACTGTGATAATTGTGATAACAGTAATCACAGTGACAATGACAACAGAATTATTAGAATTAATATTACACTTTATACAAAGACTATGTATATCTATAATTTGCTGAGAGTATATACAGTCTTGCAAAAAGTCTAGCTTACACTTTTTGTAAGTTAGTAGCCTTTCAGAATACAACATCAAGAAATAGAAAAAAAATGCTTAGTACTGCAGAGGCAGACATTGGGCTCTAGGTCACGATCCAAAGTACACAAAGTACACAAGTCTCTTCACAGACTTAACAAACTGTGATTCAGAACCATTGAACAGGCAGAGACAAGCTGCTTTCAGCCATATGGTACAGGGTTGTGTTCCAACCGAGGTTAGAGTCAAAGAGATAAAAAAACACATTTCAAATGTATATTAAGTATAGGATGATCAGAATAAATGATAGTCCTTTGGCCCTCAACCTGGTAGGGTTTTCAGAGCAATATTATCATCTTTGAAATCACTCATTTTCTATATACTTCTTTTCTGCTTTCTCTTTACATTATCTACGTGTGAACTACAACCTGATTCCACTTTTAGAAGTCCTTCTGATTCACAATTTTGGTATTCTACCAAGTCTGTGTGTCCACTGAGCAAATATTTATGATCTCTCAAACTTCTCCAGGAAGTTTCTGCCTATAGTACCTACAAAACCACGAAATATTTTTAAAACATTAAAATTAAAGTCTCCATGCTATCCACTTACACTGACCATGATGCATCACAAGTATAAAAGTCATACGAGAATTTCAAGATAAACAGTTTACCAATACAAGAAGAAAAAATCCATACTGTACAAAAACAATCAAATGAGAAGTGCGTATATTCTAATGACAATAATTATCCTGAATTGTTTGTAGTTTGTCTAATTAAAAACCACTAATGTCCCTTAGTGTATCTTTTCTTTATTAGAAAAGCAAGCTTAGACAATTTTTTTTTCCTTTTCTCAAATTACTGCAAGGTGCAGTGTTAAAGATTAAATAATGCAATATAAAGTGTGGTAAGTACACTCACTGTTCAAATCTCCTATTCCGAAGGTCTCCATCGTTAATCCTTACAATGCAATCATTTTCACGAAAAAGGTTTTCTTGTTCAGCTTTTCCACCCTTCTCCAATCGCTTTACCAGCAGCCCCAGGGTTCTGGAACATTAAGATTACAAATGATTAGTTTGAAAATTTTGCAGTATAGAAAATCCTACTGATTTAATGTTTTATCACTATAGGAACTAAATTTTAAACCATCTTTACCTTGAAGTAGGATACCATAGTTACAAATAATTTATAAGCATTACCTGAATTAATATCCTTTATCCATGAAACAAAAAGCCTAGGTGAATCAAGCATGTCATTTAAAAGTAAGAATGCACAGGCAGTGTGATGATAGCACATCCATTCCTACAAAAGGCCTAGATTTCTGAGCAGTAAAAGCTCCAAGAAGTCCCACACATCTGAGAGCCGGATAGCTATCTGAAGCTGAACACATTCAATTTATAATTTGAATATTTGATTTAGCAGAGAATATCAAAGTCATCACTACTGCTTCTGTGCAAGTGAAACGCGGGATCACCTCACGTAATAAGCAGCCTATAATGAAGGGATGGATAGAGGATTCAGGAACTTCACGTGAATCAAATGCTTATATTTTTAAATCTTAACTTTTTTTACTAAACAGCAACAAGGAAATTTGAAACATAAATGTAATTTTAAATTCAGCATATTATCTTAAATTAATTGGTTCAGTAATGACTGAAGACAATTACCATTTGATAGCCTCTGTGCAATGAGCTGGTCACCTCTGCCTAGTGCTTACCCACAGTGTCGTCTAAGGACATTCTTAGAAAGAAAAGGTAAACAAATATTCAACCTGAAATTATGAAATGGATTCTGAAGGGTGGATTTCTGAGGTAGTGGTAGGTTAGTGTGAAAAGTCAATGATCTTTCTATACCTGAACTCTAGGTTTGAAGAAGGATTCAATCTTCAGGATTATTCTTGCATCAACACTGCATTTGATTTTTTTAAAGATCAGCTTTACTTTGAAATCCCACAGGATGTATCAGTGGGTCAAATTCACATCATCCAAGTCAACAGCATTGCTTTTTCAGAAGTCATTTCAAGGAATGGCGTGAAAAATACTTGGTTGCGTACCAGGAATTGCAAGACCACATATGCCTTTTAGCACAAAACTTTCAGTGATCATAGCACTTCAGTTCACACGTACCTCAATGTAAATGAACAGTCAATGATGCTTAAAAGGACTCCTAATGCACTCAGAAGTTATAAATGCACTTGAGAACTTCATCAAATGGGTCAGAAAAGCAAAACTTCAACTTATTCCTTCCACTTTAAATTCTTCATTTACCAACTTATCATCAACATATGCAAATAAGACATTTATTTTACAGAACAGTCATACGTTTTCTCCTACAAGGCAGATGAAGGAGTAAGAGAAAAGATCCTGGTAGTATTTCTGTTTTGGAACCACCTAGAGACATTAAGATATGATGTTGAAAGGATCTATACATGTAAACAGACAGTGAGGAGAAAAACAACATAAAGCATTTCTGACAACACAAATCATCAAATGAAGCTTGAGTCAGACATTAACATTTAAGTGATACTATTCTGTTTCCAACTGGTCTGGAGTATATTGCAAACACCTAATGAACTGCTGACCTGTCAGGGGGTCCCATCAGAAGCAAACCTTCTCCACCCTCATTTGGTTCCTGTTGGACCACTTGGGTGCAGTTACTGATGCTAACTGTGGTTGGGCTTGATTTTAGCTCAGCTGTTGCAATTAAAAATCTGTCTCTTTGCAATAATACTGGTGAACACAAGGACCAGAAAGATTCCATAAAGTTAAAGTATCATTACTTTAGAACACATGCATTTCAGAAAAAAAAAAATAAAAATAAAAAATCTCTAAACAACCAACCAATTCTAGTGTGGATCTAGTCCTATCCCTCCCCATACCAAGCTGATATTCTCTGGATTTGGAAGGTTCCAGCTTTTGTAGATTCCTTCCAACAACCCAGCATCTCCCATTAAAAAGAAAATTTAAAAAAGCAAAACCAATTTTCCCAAATTTCCCAGAGCAAAAACAATCCTTCCATGTTGGTTTTTTTTTTCTGATCATCAAGGTAGTGAAATACCTTGTATTATCTAGGTACTTTAGGTGGTTTCCTGTTTGCCCTTTCCCCAGTCTCTTAATAGTTTGCGTGGCAAAAAACTCTAAAATTCCACTACAGTCACACACTAACTTAACTATTGCATTGTGCTCTATTTATTGTACTAAAATTTGCTGATAATTATGAAGGTATGTTGTCGCAGAAATAAAACAAAATAATTTTTAAAATATTGATTCAATCTTTTTCCTTCTGTTCACTAAATTAAGTTTTGAATACAGTCTCAGTTTTTTAAAACTTAAAAATAACTATAAAAAATAAAATTTTATACATTGTGAGTTGCAGAAAGCACTAAAATAACAGTTATGAATATTAATGATAAAAAGGAAAAAGCCTTGTATGCCTTCACTACATTATTTTTATTGGAATTATAGTTTTGATACATATAAAACTGATTTTCAGAAAACAAGTATGTGACTTTTTCACTTGTGAGTTGTTGAACTTCTCTGGGGAGACAACATCTTTGAGCCCCAAAGTGAAGTTACTCAAGAGGATATCTCTAAACGAGGAAGAGATAAGCAAGCAAATATAACATTTGGAATACTACATTGAAGAGAAAACCACCAAAATATTTGAAAGGGGGGGGGGGTTAGAATTGTGTCTACTCTTCCTTCTCTTTCACTTCATGCCCAACATTACTTTGATGCAGGTGTGCTCCTCTGCAATGCCCAAAGACAATTCAGAAGTTGGATGTGCCTGCAATGCTTGCAAAAGAGCATGCGCAGTAACTGCAACAGGTGTTTTGTTTATGTGGTTAAATATAAAGCATATCAAAATATCAATATTCTAAATATCAAAACATATTCGACACAAAGTATCACACTCCAAGTTCATACTATAATAATACATTATACAAAGTAATATGATTATTTCATCCCAATGTCTCCACATACTTATGATTACCAAAATAATTGGTTTATCAATGGTTTTTGTGTAGTATTTTTCTTGAAACACTGCTTTCCACTGTTTTGCATTTTGAAGTTATATCAAATTATTAATACAAGATGCATCTTTATGCACGGTTTGTCGTTTCTTAAATTTACTTCACCTAAGCTCTCAAATCTAGTAAAAAATATTACTAATCCTAACCAACGGTAAAATAATGTAGAACACAAATAAACTACCAGTCAAAATTGCAAATAATCTCATTAAACAAAGGCTACAAGTTCCACTAATGCAAGATTGCTCATCTCAGACACAACATATGGTGCTCATGAGGATTTTGCGTTTTAACAAATGTTAGAGCTAGGTTAACCGAGGCATATAAAGCTAAAGTCACTAAGAACAGATTCAAGGCTGGATGAAAAGCCTGAGTCAAATTTGAAACCAGGATCCTCACAGTGCCTTTTAATTTATTTATTTTTTAACAGAAACACATGGGGCAAATGATCCTTTTAGACACAGTGCCAGAAACTATTTCCTGAATGTGGTTCTGCGTAGTAGTGTAAACTCACACAGAACTTGCAGAAAAGGTATGTTCCTGAAAATTTTAGTAAAAAAGCCTATCAATTTCCTACAGTATTTCTTCAGCATATTATGGTTCGATGTAAGAATGACTCTAAAAAAAGGCACTACGAGAATTCATGTTTGTTGTTGCAGTAACTGGAGATAAACAGAGTAGACCTGATATTGCAAATATGCAATAACCTAAAAACTAATTTGATTTTTTTTTTCCCTGTTGTATGCCACCACAATTGATTCTGCTAAGCTAAGATGTAGCTCTACTACAGTTTCAATATTACATTTCCTACATTAGGAAAATATAAATTTTGAAAACCCATAAACAAATCTAGTACAAAATACAAAAGTCACTATATATAGTCATTTTAAATACAACCATGTAGTATAAAAATACATGGGTGCATTTGAATTTTTTTAATCATGTCCAGTTAAAGTCAACATGTTTTCTAACATAAATCTTTCCATTACAAACATTGTAAACTACAATTTCTTCAATAATGAGATTAAATATTGTGTGAACCTCTGCAAAACACTCTGCAGGTCTACAACCCTGACGAAACAGTAATTATAAATGGAAATTTGGTACCTGCACTGTTTTAGACTAATGTTAGCTGATACGAGACAAAAGGGAAACAGTATCAAAGCACAGAGCTCAATCTTTGTTTTAAATACCTAATTGGGAATGTAAACAGCTTAGATTATATTAGCATTTGCACCACTGTATTTCCACAAGGTTCATTACTCTAATTATACAATTAAAATAAACTCAGCTACATGTGTTAACATTTCAGTTCTCAGTATAAATTACACCCAATAATAAAACTAGAAATAAGCAGCGAATGTTTTATTGACATCTAAATTGCCTGAGTTCGGCTGGGTAGTTCTTTGAAACTGTGAACTCCTCACATGCCATCCAGCTGTATGGAAATGATGATAATTTTTCTTAATAAAAACTGACAGTGTAAATACTATGAGAGTAATAAAAATATTACATTGAGCATCTAGACTATGATTTGGTCATCGACGCCCATTATACGTACACACTGAAGTTATTTACCTATTACCTGCAAGCTAACTGTAATATAATCAAATCAGACAGAACAGAAAAAAACAATTTAGATGTTTACATAAAGTCACTGACATGAAAAGGCAAAAACTAGATTACAGGGCAAAAATAAGAACTGACTGAAAAGCCAATGCATAGAGGTTTCATGCAATGAAAGGACAGGAATATAAACACAGATTCAGAGGTCAGAGTAGGCAAATCAGCTTGTTTGTTAAAGTTAAATTATCATGGCTGATCAATGCTAAATTGGACAGAAACTCTTTTGCACAACACTGACGTCATGGTGCTACTGCAGAGGGATTAAAAAAAACTTTATCAGTTTTCACATCCCAAGTCCGGAAAACAAATTTCCAGCCTTCGGTAACTACTCCTCAGCTTTTTAGCTTGAATAATACTTCAAATTAAGTTGATATAACTTTTTAAAGGCTGAGATCAGACATAGAGAGCCTTGAATTCAGCTAGGAGAGTGAGGGAGTGGTACATTCACACCACAGGGAATCTTTTCCCCAACGCATATGTTTTTGAAAACCATGGCTACCTTTGAGACTTAAAAGGTTGGAAATGCAGGAGAGGAAAAAATGGAGATGCAGATAACACATGCCTACTCAATGATCAAACAGAATATGATCGTTAGAGAGGCACCTTGAAAGCAGTATTATGGACTCTCAGTATAGACAATGGCCATTAGATATTACTTTAGTTTTCTTTGTATTTTGTGTAAAAGACAAACTTTTACAGTGAAATATTAAGTGATTTATAAACTCAAGAAAATTAAAGGCACTTCCATTGAAAGGAAAAAAAAACCCAACAAAAACTACAGAACAGAAAAACTTATATAAAAATTTTCCAGTAACAGGATTGTGTATACATCATTTGAGGTTTTTCATTTTTTTGAATAAAATCTGTTAAATTTGTCATTTAAACTGATAAAAATCAATAAAATTCAGTTTCGTCTTTTTCCCACTCTTCTGAGACTTCCTTAATATTTTAAGACATTTGGGATAACAACTAAAAAGGCCATAAAAATTCAGATTAAGTATTTTCAGCTGCCATGTTTTAGCTGTTTAGTTTATCATGGATTTTTGTGGCGTGCTTCAATAGGAAGAACAGCTGGCAGAGCCCTGCATACTGCTCTGCATCAATGTGTCTGATACTTATTAATGGATGTTCTTTATGGGGTTTTCAGATGAATATCCAAATCCTTTCCTCTTCTGTTTTACTAAGTAGACTTCACAGTAGTATTGGGACTATAGGACTATAACTTCCACATCATTATTCACAGAGATTTCTGATGTTACCCCACATATTCCTTGTGTCAGAAGAATCTCCTTTCAAAGACATGGCAGGATTTCGGAAGAGGAGCTAGGGTATAGAGCTTGAGAAGATTTCAAAGACTCTTGAGAGTAGAAGAGGCTATATAACAGTAAATTGTGCTATAATTACTATTAAGCTTGCAGAGGAGAACTTGATGCTACCCCACTTATGTATCAACATAACATCCCCCATCAGTGAGGAATGGTCAAATTCTATTGTTAAGGGACTAAGCGCTCACTCTCCTCTCTGAGGACCTAATGAGGAAGGAAGGATTGGTGCTAAAGACTATTTTGCACAGATTTACAATTTTCTGTCCTTTTATCCTTTCCTCTCATTCATTTCCTCTTTGTTCTACTCTTATCTAAACACTTTCCTGTTCACTTTCTATCCTGTCCTTCTTTCTCCTTTCATTTTCATGCCTCCTGTTCTGCTTAGCACTGCATCCATGCCATTGCAGAAATCTGCAAGCAGGTTTTGCAAACAAAACTTTTATCTTGAAAAACTTCACAACCATAAGGTGATGAATATGTATGCTCCTCCCTTTTGATAAGGTGAACATACTCTTCTTCTACAAAGCATATGATCAAAAAGGCCAATAAAGGACTGATAAATTTCTAGAGGTAAAAATAGAAGGATAATAGAGAAATATATCAACAGAACAAAGTTTGACTATGTTTGTAGACATCAATAGTACTTTTCCCAGAGAATCATGGAGAGCTTTTTTTTTTGTTTTTTAATAAAAAAAAAGTCTCATTTTTACAAGGAACATAACTTAGTAGCATCTATATTGATGAAACAGAGATTTTTACAGATTCTTACTCCAAACCCTTAAAAGGCTATGAAAGAGTCAAATATTTCCTCAGTATAAATAAAGGACATAATTATGGCATATAAATTTTAGAGGTTTGGGGTGTTTGCTTTGGGGGACGGGTATTTTTTTGGTGGGAGAAGGTCCCTCCTTATTGCACATAGGAAAAAAAGGGTGAATTGTATTAGTATGTTTTCATACTTTTTAAAAAATTATTGATTTAATAACCATTGTCTATTGAGTAACATTTTCTAAAGGAACTGGAAGAAAAATAACTGAAAACAAAGCATAACTGGAACTGAACACAAAGCAAATATAAAACAACTATGGCTTAGTCCATGGGCTAACGGACTAAGCCATACGATACACCTGATCTTTTCTTTCTGGACATCCTTCAAAGTCTTTACTGAGTCCTGTGTTTGGTTTTTTACATTTAGGTTTCTACTGAGCAGATCTCCTGCTCAAGTAAGTTAGTTAACTGTAGAATGGCGCATTATGCTTTGCAGACAGAGGAGCAACAAAGAGGAGCCATGTGCTAGAGTGAGAATCAAGCAGGCAGAAGAGGATCCCTGCCAAGCATCTGCTCTCCCTCTGAATCCAGCAAAAGGAGAACCAAGTGTATCTTATCTGCTCAAAAGAGCTGGGGGACCATGGGGAAGTGGGGGAGGGAACAATACAAAAACCCCCACCAAGAGCTCCAAAACTGAACTGGAGTGCACTCCTTTCCCTGCCCACATTGCAGGCTCCATGCAGCTGGAGAAAATGTCTTTGTTCTCACTGAAAGCAGGTAGAGGTGTGGGCACAGCTGGCAGCAATGCAGCAGTACAACACACATGCTTATAATCAATACCAAGCAATGAACTCTGCTCTTCTTCCAGTACAACACAGAGAGTATGGGAGAAATGTTTTGGAAATATCCAAGGTCCTCTCCAACTCTGCTCCTCCACACTTTCAAGACAGGGAAACAAGTATTCCTCCATTTTTTTTTTTTATTATTTTTGCAGGGCAGGGGGGTGTTTCGAAAAAACTCAGACACTCATTGCACGTACCATCCATTTTTCAATGAGAGAAGTTCTAGTACTATGAAGAAAAAGTAGATACATTTTAATATACAAATTCTTTCCCTTGTAACATAATTTGATTTTTAAGTATGTCATGATTCTAAACATCTATATTTAAAAATGGCTTTCCTGCAATAAAATTTTATCATATAATCCCAAACTCAGGACAAAAAAAAAAAAGAGTTCATAGTTCTTGACATAGCTAGCATCCTTAAAAAGTGAGATATTTTATTTCCGTGTTTACAGCTTTTTCATTTTACATGCTCTCGTGTAAATGGTTTAAGCTTCGCCTCAGACTTGACAACCACATTAACATCCTGGAATTAAGCTTTACTTGAGTTAAAATCCTTACTCAAAATGTCAAAATATACATTTCTAACATCAATTTTATTAAACAAGTACTCATTAGGCCACCAACATTCTTAAACTGGTCTTTTTCTTGGCCTTCACACTAAATACCAGATAACTCTGTGAACATATCAACCATTTCCAACTTTATGGGATTTACTTTTGAGCTTATGTTTGAAGTACCATTCACTCATACCCCTTTCCATCCCCATGCACAGTTTACTAAATTTCAGATTAGGAAGAGAATTTACCACTTTACATAAGTTTGTTCTTAATACTTGTAGTGCTCAGAAAAAGTATCCTTAAATTTTTAAAAAATACATGTCAGTATGGCTAAGAAAGCACTGGGTTTAAAGTAATATCTGCAAATAAAATTCTTATACTGTGTTTAAAATCCTGTAAAGGTATTTGGTATAGAAGGAAAAATGCAGTTATAATTTCTGAAAAGAGAACATTAACATTATATATATATATATATATGTATAGAAGTTAGTTTTGCTCCTAATTACTAAATTGAAATTGTTGATGAGTCAACAGACATGTGAGAACATTACACTTCTTCATGTGCAATTGACGATTATGTTTTTAAATATGCATTTGTTACCCTTTTCCTTAGATAGGGAAAATCCAGTGTATACTTAGAATATGCATCACCAAAATAAAATCTGCATATATTCCCGAAGAACTATCATTTTTCAACATACTTAAAAGCTTCAAATCCACCATTACTACAAAAGTTAAGCTATTTTTCTGAAATGATGTTAATGGCCCTAAATGCTAAAACTCTACTTTAGCAAAGCAAGCATTAGAGGTGATGCATTCTGTTTCTAATATAATCCCCCACATTATATTTTTTTTAATGTGAAGGACTCTCTTTATACTTTTTTTTGTAAAAAATCCAACTTCAGGTGTTCCAGTCTGTCATATAATAAAGGGGTTCACCTTCCCCAAAACAAGAAAATTTCAACTGGTTTTGCTACTTCATTTGAACCTCAACAGACAGGACAACACTAAACACTAAATATTGAAAGCGTGATGACTGTTTTCTCTTCCACTCTTATCAAGTGCAGGCACAGGACGCCTCTGGTTTAGACTCCTGCTGTTATTTGGGAACTTGTGGCTCTCAACAGTGAGCAAGGAAATGTTGCACAAATATCTACCTGAATTAAAGCAGTAAATTATAATTGTTAAGAGTCCAAAAAGAAATGTCTTTATACTTCTATTTCCCATAAGATTACAACAGAATCTCTGTTAAAACCCCACAGTTCATACTCCTTTTAAGTAGAACTTTTCCATTAGAGAGTCCATTCCAAGCACCGAGTCAGTAAACTTGCAATTCTTCCTTTCTTAATCAGTGAGACTGCCTTTTGAAATAACATACAATAGTCTACAGAAGGCAAAGGCATACAATACAAAAATTAACACGACTAAGATAAAACATAACAAGGTACAATTAAATTAAAATCCTACACAATACGTTACCTTCCGCCTCGGGCACTGAAAGGCACTACATGGATTCCCAAAGGCCCGCCGTCATTGGAGACTTCTACGAGCTTTACCATATCACTGTGAGACAATGATGAATGAGGGAATATGAACATGTACTGTGAAGGAACCAAAAAACCCCACACAAACATACACAGAAAAACAAAACCATTCCAGAAATCAAGTCATGGTGATGAAAGCATTGTTGAGTGCTACTTACCTGAAGATTAATCTGATGGCATGAAAGGAGATCAATCATCAAAATAGTCCAATTAATAAAACAAACAAAAATAAAAGATTTTTTTTGCAAACTCAGTTTGCTATGCAAAAAAAGGTATCATCATGATCACATGTTTTCACATATTGTTTTATTACTTCCTTATTCTAAAGTTAAAGTTAACTGTTTGGACCATTGAGCAGAAATACTTTAAATACCACATACAATTTTTCCTCAGAAGCCTAAAAGCTGATCATAGCACTAGCATGCTTTCTTTTTTTATCTTAGAGAGCCCACTCTAAGCCTTAACATTAGCTTTCACATAACTATCCCTTAATCAAATGAGAAATATTAAATTTTCAATTGGTTAAATTCCTCTAGTTTTAAAACACATTAATTTGTTTTATTGTAATTCCATTTCTTTTACTGGAAGATTGCTGTATCTATATCTCTTTATAGGCAAAGTTTCCAAAATAAGATTTAACTATAACATTTCAAACCAACCAGATGGCCTCCTGAAGCAACTACACATCTAGTTTTCAATTATGTTTTTCACTCTAGAGAGGGAAAAAGTGAAAGAGGAAAGTACAGGTTCAGAAACAGACATGAAAAAATTCTAGAAATAGATTTGGACCAAATCTACTGATGCATTAGAAACATGCTCACATCTGGGAAGGTGGAATATAGCCCATAAACCAAAAAGAGTTATAAATACCCAAATGAGACAATAACACATGAAGGCCAAACTTCTCAGTAAATCTGGAAGTGAGAGATCTGAACGAAAGCCACAATCGAAATTTGTGGCTTATGCCTCTCTCTAGTATTACCTACATTTTCTTTATTTCCTGGCACTACATATATACACACAGATCTTTGAGAAGCTTGTTTCTCATAAGCACACAAATCAAATTTAATCTAGAAATGGAGCAAAGAGCAAGACCAATGCCCTGTGATAGCAGTAAAAGATTTTCTACTTCCTTCAATAAACTCTTGATCATATGGTGGCCCATCACAAAAGCTTGCAGCGCTTAATCTGGAGTCTGAGTATAACCAGACAACATATTGTTAGGAGGCCAACAAAAATTCTCTGTTACAGTTTGTTTTATATTTCTTCCACATTACATTTTTTAGTATATTTTTAAGGTGGCCTTTACATTTGTTGTATGCCTCAACTCGTGTCTGATTTTTTTTTACTCATTTTTTAAACAACATGAATCGAAGGTCTCTATCCCTGTTGCCACCGTTTAACTCAAGAAATTATTGCAACAAGAGGAGACCTGAGACATCAGCCAAAAAACATCTTATTCTTCAGACCTGGACCTGTTCTTAAGACATGTTTTAAGACTGACAGCATTATAGCATTTGGTAATGCTCTCTGTCCCAGTTTCTGTATAAGCTAACTTCATTTCATCCTCACTGTATATTAAGGCTGAGTTTTCATTAACTAGTATGCAAAGCAGCTTAAGGCAATCAAGCAACGCCTTTCACCTCCAAAAGGTACTCTAAAAGACATCTTTTGCTATTGGCATGCCTGTGTCTCCCTATGATCAACTTTTTTTCCAACTTTCCTATAAGCTTTAAAGAAAATTGAGGACTGAGGAAGTGAAAATCAGTGTGATTTACCTGGAACTGTCATAAGAAGAAACACAGCTTAAAAAAAAAAAAAAAAAAAAAAAACAATTAAAAAAAAAAAAAAAAAAAAAAAAAAAAAAAAAAGGCCCTTTTCAGATCTAGCCAACACTGTTTAACTTGTTCTATTCATTGAGTCCTTGAGTCAGTAACCTTCCTTTTTTTCCAAAATACACATTTAAGGTCTAGGCACTCATTTTTCTTATACTTTTTCTTAAAAAAAAAAATCCATCCCAAATTCCAATGTTAAACTCTGTAAAATGGAAAACAAAAGGAAATGATCCCTTCCTAAGAGAGACTGTTTCAATTTTGCTTCCTGATTTTCTCAGAAGTTTGGGTCAGCTACTTCAAACAAACATACAAAGAAGGATGATACCAAAACAGAAAAGAATGAAGTAGCACATGATGAAAAGACAAAAAGTTACTTAAGAGCAACACCAAGAAGCATTAAACTTGACAGAAGGTCTGTAAACTCTACTTAGCAAACAGCATTAGGAATTTACAATGTAACAGATTTGTGAATGGAACAGTGTAAAATTCAGCATGTACTTCCTAACAGATGTCACCTTGTTCTCTACCTAACATTTAAACCCTCTGCACCTAATTCATAATTTGATTCAGAGATAATAGAAGCAGAAGATTTACTTTTATTTAAAATTTAAGTTTAATGCATCTAAAAGGTTTAATTTAAGGGAAGAAGGGATATTTGCTCATTAATTCCATAGCGAGGTATAAATCAGCTCTTTGCAATGAAATGCAAAAGGTCAAGCTTGCTGTATCTCATGATGAAATAAAATATCTTTCACTATTTTTTAAAAATTAGGAGGAGCTTCCCAGTCCTGAACAACATTAGTTTTGATCCATTCACAAAGTATGAGGTTTTTGACCACAGAACTTAGGTAAATCCCACACACAACCTCCCAGTAGACTGTGAACTGGTGACAGGAAGTAAGATCTTCGCCTTTGAAATTCTTGTCTGTTGATTTATTTGTGCTAGCACTGACCCTATTCCTTCTGTCAAGTTTTCAGAGTTCCATCAAATAAGCACCTTCTTTGAGGCAGAAAATCTACTGTAGCATCAGTACTTATAAATGTCAAGTTTCCAATGCTCATCTTTAACACAGGCTTTTTAAACTGTTTAAAATCTGCTTTTAAAAGGTCCATGAAGCAAATTGTTTAAAACCAAAATGAACATGACCTAAAAAAGACTGCCTCGTTTTCTTAAGAGTGGTATCACTCATATTATTCTGAATTTTTTGCTAGTCTATGTTCAGTCTCAAGACTCATTGTTAAAACAATGTGTTCTGCCAGTAACTTACTCCAGGGAAAAATTGGTAGCATTCTCCAAACCAGTGTCTGCATGTCCAACAGGCTCAACTCTGCTGTTGTCCTCCTCTGTCCCATCTTCATCCTAGATATTAAAGAATAAAACAAAAAAAAACATTTAAATCTAGGTTTAATAGGTTAACTCATTTTAATAATGCCATTTTACCATTTTCAAATTGCTGGGGCAACCACATGTACAGTGGAAATGTGTGCTTCTACAGTTATAAAAATCTTTTCTGTTGCTGTCTGAACGTGTTGTAAATTGGTTTTGTCACTATACATTGTTTGTAATGATATTTGTAGTTTAGTCAGTTTTATATCTTAATTTTACCACAGTTGTAAACACAATGCTACAGAAGCTATCACTGCCAGCATTTTTTTAAAAGGTACCCAAGTAAAAGCATAAAATCAGCTGACAGTCAGCAGTGTTTGTGCAAACGCCTTCTGAGCTCTCTCTGGGCAGGTTATTGGGGGCTCAGCTGAACACACAAGACTTGTTTGCAAATAGTTAAAAACAGTATAAGAAAAGGCAGGTTGTATAATTCCATAAAGTACCAAGACCTCTTTGAACAGTTTATCACAGGCATTTATCAGCAGCTGACATCAGACATGAGTGCACTTGGTTTGCGTGGCAAGGT